AAATTCTTCCCATTGGGAAACAGATTTCTTTGCTCTGTTAGTGGGAGAATTCCTATAATTTGCTGCAGTATTAACTGTGTAGCATACTCCCCAAACAATATATTCACAGATAATCTCAGATGATCATATCTATATAAACCTCCCCCCGCCAAAAACGACAAATTGTTCATTCAGCATCTTGTTCAGTATTTCTGACTTTATTCTTCAACCCTGATGCTTCAGAGCATTGCTTTATTTTTTTTATTTTTTTACATCTTTATTGGAGTATAATTGCTTTACAATGGGTGTTAGTTTCTGCTTTATAACAAAGTGAATCAGTTATACATATACATATGTTCCCATATCTCTTCCCTCTTGCGTCTCCCTCCCTCACACCCTCCCTATCCCACCCCTCTAGGTGGTCACAAAGCACCGAGCTGATCTCCTTGTGTTATGCGGCTGCTTCCCACTAGCTATCTATTTTACGTTTGGTAGTGTATGTATGTCCATGCCACTCTCCCATTTTGCCTCTTCAATAAGTGGTGCTGGGAAAACTGGACAGGTACATGTAAAAGTATGAGATTAGAACACTCCCTAACACCATACACAAAAGTAAGCTCGGAATGGATTAAAGACCTAAATGTAAGGCCAGAAACTATCAAACTCTTAGAGGAAAACATAGGCAGAACACTCTGACATAAATCACAACAAGATCCTTTTTGACCCACCTCCTAGAGAAATGGAAATAAAAACAAAAATAAACAAATGGCACCTAATGAAACTTCAAAGCTTTTGCACAGCAAAGGAAACCATGAACAAGAGCATTGCTTTATTATATCTCCTGACTTATGGGGGGGTGGGGGGAAGATGCTGTTGTTCTCAAGTGACAAAGCCCAGTTGCTATAGGCAGAAGAAAAAAGAGAACTAATTCTCTTCACTTCCCCCTACCATTCATCTGTATTGGTCCTGGGGCCCAGCTCTTTGTCTAGGCTGAAGTCTTGACAGTTTTCCTAAGGCAGAAGGGTTCCTGGCTAGTGTTTGGTAAACTGCTGCCTCCTGGAGGTGAGACTTAGATTCTTAGATTGTGATGGCTTTACGGGCATTGACAACCTTCCCTATTAGTCCTCCTGCCTCAAGGCAGGATTCAATATCTATGTATCTCATTAATAGTATTTTTTTTTTTTTTACCATATTCAAAATCTTGGAAAGAAGAGCTTATGACTTTGCAGGTGAGACGGAGATTCTTCATAACAACTGGTAGTGAAATGTTCATTATAATCTACTGGCAGAAAAGGACTCCTGACCACCCTCAGGTGTGCCTATAAGAGCTTAAAGACCCGCAACTGTTAATAGAGGAACAGCCTCTTTGCCTGAATGGCCCTTCTACAGAGCCACCTGTCTGGAGAAGAGAGCAACAGTCTCTTCCCACCTCTCAATGTTGGAGAGAGCCAGAGCCTGGTCCCCAGGCCTCTTCTTGGTCCATGCTCACCCCCCTGGGCCATCATCCCAGTATCCAAGGCTTAAACGCCATCGATATGCCAGTGAGTACCTAATGTAGATCCCCAGCCTCAACTTTTCCCTGTGTTCTAGATTCATATACCAACCGCCTTCCTATATCAATGCTGGATATGTAATTCACAGCTCAAAATTACCATATCCAGATAGAACTGTTGACTTCGACTGCCCAGCTGCCTTATCCTTCAACCAAACCTATTATTCTTCCCGTATCTCACCTTTCTCAGGAAAACAGTATTATCCACCCAGGTGTTCCTGATTCCTTTTTCCTCCTCCCCAGTGAATCCATTCATAACTCCTGCAGATCTCTCCTCTAGAGTATATCTTGATCAGACCCACTTAGCTGTCTCTACCACAGCCATGCTAGTCTAGGCAGCCGTTCTCTCTCATCTGATCCCTGCAGTAGCCCCCTATCTTTCTCCATGCTTCTGCTAGAGATTGTTTTAAGATGTAACTCGGACCACATTTCTCCTTACAGTCTTCCAAGGCTTCCTCTTTCACTTAGGATAAACTTCAAAAGCATAACTCCGGCTTACAAAGACCGATGTGATTTGGCCCCTTCCTGTGTTTCTGTTCTGTTTACCTCCTTGCCCACTGCTCTTCAGCCCCAGTGGTCTCTTTATTGTCCTTCATGCACCAAGTCCATTCCTTCCTCAGGGTTGTGCTAGCTGTCCAAAGTGCTCTTCCCCTTCATGTGCACAAGACTGGCCCTTTGTCTTCAGTTATATCTCATCTTAAATGTCACCTATTCAAAGAGACCTTCCCTAGCCACACAATGCAAAGTGGTCACCCAGTTTTCCTGTATTATATCACCCTATTTATAACTTTGTGGATTTTTTTGGTTTATTTGTTTCCGAGCGTTATTACTGGCCAACCCTCCTCACTGAAATGTAAGTTTCATGGGAGCAGAAATCTTGCCCTTTTCCACTGTTATATCCCTGGCGCCCAGAATGATGCCTAGCTAACACATAAGTAATGCAATTATGTTTGTGCATGTGTTTGTGTATGTGTATATATAAATTAATGGACAATCATTTACACATAAGTATGAATTGGTTTGTCAGATTGCTTTCTTCCTAACACCTTGTAGATTCAGCTAAGAATTAAAGTTAGAATCAAGGGAGATGAACAGC